GGAGGATGGGGGGAAAGGGGTGAAGCCTTCATTGCTAGTTTTACCTGGCTTTTGAACTGTACCGCATACAAAGTCTGCTTTTAGAGGTAGACGCATTTCTGAAATGGAAACAGATCCCCTGGATGGAGCAAATTCAGTGGATGTAGAAGCAGCTTTATTTCTTTTACTGTGAGGTCCCTCGCTCTTCAGTTTATTCAATTCTTCCAATAAAGCAGTTCTTTTCTCAGCTGCACAGAAAAATTAATTAATTATAGTTGTAACAGAGGAAAAAGTAGTACTGAACAATTTTTTTTTTCATAAATATGTAAAATGCAACAGAAATGTTAATCATCTTCCAGAATCATTAGGAACATTAGGGACAAGAGATACCAAAAACATCATCTTGCCTATAGAAGATGCTGAGACAGAACAGATATTAATCATCTCGTTTTCCATGTGAAGAACTAAAAATAGGCAGCTGCAAGGTAGCGTAATAAACGCGTTGCCAGAGTTCATCAAGTCTTCCCAAAGTGTTCATGACAAAGGATTGCATTGGAGTCTAAAAACCTACTTGCAAGGAGAAGAAGTCTCTCTGCCTCTGCTTCTTCTTGTGACCCTTTCCCATGTTCCTCATCAAAACAGCAGTTCAGAGCTTGACTGGCTTGGTGAATCACCGTCTGCTGCATGTTGATCTCATTATTCAGCTCCTAGAGTAAACCAGTAGTAAAAATAAGTAGCAAAAGAGCGATGTAGTGTTACATTCAAACAAGGAAATGTCTTGAGATTAACAATTTTGGAGCTATGCTTCAGAAAAATCTGGCTATTTAGAGAGTAAACTACAAAAATCTTGCAAGATTAGTTACTTCTGCACAAGAACATTGCAACACAACATTTTTGACCTCAGAGGTAATTCAAATATGGTGGGGAGTGAGTGACTTCAATGTTTGTACACTCTATATCCAGTCTAGTCTTCCCTCCACAAGGGGAAGCAGCAGTTAACCCGAAATTCAGCAATGTATGTGAATGAGGCACCAGTAAGGACCAGCATATTGCCTACTGAAAGTATGTAGTTATGAATCCTATCTAATTCAAGGCAGTTAAGATACAGATTCCACATCCCCATCTCCAAACAATGGCTTGTTCCCTGCTGACTTAGTCTATAGCATGATCCTTCTAAGAGATCATTCCTTATCGCTAGATATTTATGCTGAACAACCTAATTTTGAAGTTCTAAGCAATACGTTCATGTCCTGGACACTCAAAGGGGAAATTAAGCAAGGAAATAGTAAACTAGAAAAAGGATTTTAAGAAGTATATTAGGTACCTGCATTTTCTTTTTGATATTGACTTGATCAGATGGGCCGTTCTTTTTTGTTTCTAGTTTGGAAGCAACATCTTCCTTGCGAACAATGATTTGCTTTATTGAGGGACGATCAGTTTCTTTAAATCTTTGAGATCTATATGCATCAACACTTTTAAAAGAGGGAAACCCATTAGTTGTGTCATAGGTGTGCCAAGCTTTTTTTTAATATATACATACATATCAAGTATTGATGTTTTCCAAGTTGCCTACATGGCTTTAAAAAAAAGCATTCTGTCAGCTCATTTTAAGTTTAAGCAACATAAAGACTTCACAGAGACAATCTTTGATAAAGGCTGAGATCTTGGGAAAAAGCTTTGTTTGTGGTTTAAGTGGTACGCTTCATTAGAAGAGGTTAAAAAGCCATTGTCTTGATTTGCACACTTCCAGAATCAGCTGTGGGGTTTTGTGTTTATTACCTATAGGGAAGGTTGCGATCTTCTGACATGGAGCCAATACTGTCTCCAGATTCTGCCCTGGGGACTTTGGTCCTTTGGAACTTGTCAGACTTCAGGCTTACATCGCTGATACTGCTTCCTTCACCAGTTGACTTACAAGGAGAAACAAAGGCCTGGGGAGAAGAAAAGGTTATTACAGATATCTGTCCACATGAATGATTATCTGTTTTCTCCCAGTTGACTTACAAGGAGAAACAAAGGCCTGAGGAGAAGAAAAGGTTATTATTACAGATATTTGTCCACATGAATGATTATCTGTTTTCTTTCAACTTTACTTGTTTTGCATATAAACAGTGATTTGGAGGCTGCTTAAATACTACATGACATTTTACAAGTATTTCCCAGGACATGGAGCAAGCTTACTTATTTATTAAAGACACCAGCAGATCATTAACAACAGGAGATTTCACGCTTAGTTTTTAAACTGGTGAAGTTAAATAACTACTTCTTTTCAGATTTTCATCAGTAACCACTTTACTGAATGCATGTATACCACTGGAAGACCAGCACAAGGAATAGATGTTTATACTCAAGCTTGATTCAGCAGAAGTTAACCACTGGTTTAGCAGAGCATCCAATATGCTATGCTATTTTCAGAGGAAACAAAAACCAAAGACACGCCCACACCTTACCTCATTATGTTTTCATTAGCAAAACATCATTTCTAACTTCTCTATTTGCCCAGGTATCACAATGCAACAGAGTATCACTGTTCACAAGCAAATTGTACATCTGAGACAAACAAGCCCTTCCCACCTTCTAAGGCATCTCACCTCTGGACCAACAGATTCCACTAGAGGGGTTAACAGAGACATTGATGAAATATTCAGTGACTCTTCCTGCTCATCCTCATCACTTTCACCTTCCAGGCTCATGCTCATTTCTTTCTTCAGCTTTTCGATGTCTGGACCATCCTCTTGAAGAACTTCAAAAATCTCATTTATCACTTTTGAGCTATTCATCTCGTCATCCACACTCATTTCGATTTCATATACTTCATCTGAAGGGTGATGTTTTAAAAATATTAATAGTATCAAGATTAAACTCTTCATTCTCATTAAATGAGCAGAAAGACATTAACAGTTAAGCCAACTATTTTTGCTTTTCAAGTAAGCTTTATTAAAAAGCACTTCTTATAGTCAGGCATACAGAACCCTAAAGTATACTTCCATCCTTGTTTTAATCCACTTTTACCAGGTACACTGCATAATTGATACGGAGAAGGAATAAAAAGACACACTTGTTAGACAAGTTTCAACATTTTAGTTCAAACAGGTCTGAAACTTAACTGCAAGTCCTGTAATAAAGCAGTCTTTTCTGTCCTTTCCCAATAAACTTTTGATATCAGCATTTTGATATTCCTTGAGGACTTGAATGTCAAGAGAGAAGGGTTATGATAAAAGAAGTTTCCTGATTTATTTTATATAAATCTCCTTACGAAACACACATTAGCAGATGTATGGTGAATTCATTGTTCAGACTTGAAGGACACTAACACTCCGCTGGACAAGCAGCAATACATAACTAAATGCGTTAATATACATCTACTCGATACAAACCTTTTGGTTTCTCAGCAAGTTGTTCAAGTTTTGAGACAGACATCGCTTTTACAGGGCTTTTTGGCTCAGTGATCTTCAGAGGACTAGGTTTAACAGTCTCTTCACATTTAGGAGCACCTAAGTAGTTTATAAAAAAAGAAGTCACTGAAGATTACATCTAGCCTTTGCAATTTTTTTCAGTTATTGAATTTTGTAAGTTTGATAATATAGCTGACTTACAAAAAGCTCGCTACGTTAAGTGTTCTAGTTAGCTTGCTACCCAAAAAAAGCCTTAGAACACAGACCCCCCACAACCTGTACAGCTAGACTTCTACCTTAGAATCAGAAAACTGAGAACACAGAAACAAGGCTGAAATCCTAATAGGGCACAGCCACTCAAATGCAAAAAGGGAAGGTTTAAAACACACCACACTCAAACCCAACCCAAGAGCAGGATATCATCCTGGTTTTCTAAAAGCACATTTGAGAGCCTGCTTGTCCATAGCCTTTATAAGAAGCATTAAGTTCAGTCTTATTTCCACAGAGAACTGGAGGCTCTTCCACTCAGCAAGCACCAGAAAGGATGTCACAAGCATCTTGGAATTCTTTTCACATCCCCTACTGTAAGAATTAACATCATAAGGGGATACTGACAAGGGAAGAGTTCCCTCCCATTAGATTATTGTGGAAATTTGGATACTCAGGTACTGTATAGATTAAATCTGACACACTGATGATTCTCACTCACTCTCCCTATACTTAACATACATGAGGATATGAAACATAGACAAACCCACTGAGAAACGCAGAGGCCTTGCCAATCTTTCAAGTGCTACAGGAGTGCAGAGTATTATTTGTCACACGAAAAGATTTAGACAAATCAATAATCAAATAAGAGGTCCAGTTCTACACGTCAGCACTACCAGCCCTTACTACTACTCATGAGCCTCAAGGGCAGTGCATCAGTCCAGTGCTAGCCACAGGCAAACAGTGACGGTTCTCACCTGAAGGCTCCATGCTGGGAGACTTTGGTGGCCTGTCACCTGCTGGTGTGTCTTCTGCTGATCCAAAAGTGGTGGCATCCGAACTAGGAGGACGTTTTGGACTAGTCTGAGATTGGCTTTCCTGGAAAAAATAAAAACATAGTACATTCAGGAGGTAATGTTCAAAGTGACTGAAAAAACTGCCAGAAAGAAACACATTTTAACACCTGCTAGGAAAAAGCCTATCCAATATCAAGAAGGTTCCTATTTAAGTAAGAAATTCAGCTGAAGTACTAAATACTAAATTGAGTGTTTTTGAGTTTTCTTTTGTTTTTAAAGTTATAGAATATAAAACCCCTACACTTATCATCAAAAAAAAAAATCAATCAATTGGCTCAAAGCAGTATCACTTGCCTCCTTAACTGATTCTGCAGGAGGAAAAATGTATCAGTTTTTAATAATCACACAAACCACTTGACAAGTGGTCTTACCCAGCCTGGGCATTCACAAAGCATAGGTTTTTATCCTTTATTTCCATTTGAACATCCATCTCTGTGTTCAGAAGACATCAAAGCAATTCACAGACGATCATTTACCGATACACGGAGGTAACACATTACCATTTTAGCTTCTGGAAGTTTTCTCTTTGAACTTTCACTTTTCTCCGCGCTCCACAGATTGCCCCTATCGAACCGGCCACGAAGGCATGCAAGTTCTCGCTCACGTTCCTAAGCAAATAAAGGCCGACAGGGGAAGAGCTGACAGATTTAAGAAATCAAAACATCTCAGATTCCTCAGGTAGGTGCATAACAGTTTGAATCTTTCCCATAAGCAAGCTGTGAAGGCAGCAAGTCATACCTGCTTAAGCTGAAGCGCTAAACTGGCAGTAGAGGAATTTTCATTTTGTTTGAGAAGCCTTTCCTGGATTGTCCTTGTATTTGGGGTAACAATCGGTGTTCTGCACCCTGGAGTATTCGTAGCAGGACTCCGTGCACTACGCTCTTGACAGCGTTCCCCAAAGCGTTCCAGGAAGGGCTTAATTCCTGATCCCCCTACAAGAACAAGTGTTTTGTCTTGAAAAAAACTCTCAAAACCACAGACAGAAATCACTGCAATTTTGCATCCTGCCAATGGTTCTCAGTGAAGCAATTAAGCTGTCTCCTTTACAGCTCTTACTCCATTATTCTTTATACAAACTAAACCTGAAGTGCAAATCACCACAGTAACAGAGAGTTAATAAAAGCAGCAAATCAGAGCAAATAGATGTCCTTCCCTTAAAGACCACATATGATCCACCAGTTAAACTGGTTTTCTTTTTCAATATTTCCTCTACAACCAGCCTCACTTGCATCCTTTATGTAAATGAGCTTTCCAGTACTTAAGGTGGATACATTGGTCTGGCATCTACTCCACTTTATCAAACTTGTCTTTTATTGTCAGCATATCTGGAGACACAGACTTGCTCTACTGGCCATCATTTTGAAGAGTTCAAGCTGTCAGTCCAAGTTTCTGATGCAACAAGCAGTTGAATTTAAAACCAGGTATGATGATCACTTGTTTCAACGTCAACGCTACCACTAGAAGAAAGACACTACGCAAAGTTAGAGCATCTATGTGGAATTCCTTCTAACACATGTAGGCTCTTCACCTTATATTGATTGGATACACACAGTATCCAACAATTCGAAAGAAGTTTTGAATAGTCTCAATTAACTGGTGTTAGCAGGATGCATTTTAACATAGAGGAAAAAAAAGTTAGATTGATTTCACTCTCGAGAGTCACTAAAATCACATCCAAGAAAATAGCTTTGCAAAACGTGGAAGCTGTACAATTTCTGTTAATTATCACAGAACTCTTCAAGACTTTACTCAAGTTACAGCAGGAAATAGGCTGTATTATCTGATGTGGTACCATAAATTCTCAACTAATATGTAGTTTTCAACACAGGACGCACAAGTCTAATTTGACTAAACATTTATTGAAGATGAAAAGACAGCTTACCTGGTGTTGTGGGTTTACCCTTAGGTTCAAGTTGCACATGTGTTCCCTTGACTGGCTCTTCTTTGGACTGAACTGGTTGAGTCACAGCTGGTTTTGCTGTTTGTGTACGCTTTTCAGTTTTCTGAGGGCTGCAGGGATTCTCCGTTAGCGGTTGTCGTACTTCAGATTCCTTACAACAGGGAACAGTGACTCTTGAGGACTGTAGTAAAAAATTCTTTGGATCCTCAACAAGGGAAAAAGGAATAACATTAAGATGAGACTGTACATTCTTATTCTCTCAAGAGGAAAAAGAATGAAACCATTCTACATAGCATGCTACAACACATCTATTCCATCAACAACAGAAAAAGCTGAGAACAAGGGTTAAAAGCTTTTTGCAGATTTTTTTTAATCCAATATTTCAGATTGTTTCAGCATTTCATTCCAGGTGCTTCTGCCAGCTACTTGCGGTATTTTCCCATGTTTCACTAAACAAGACTGCACATGGCAGATATTGTCATTTCATAAATGGCATAAATTGAACTATAGGTACCTGATACTATGAATTTCAGCATTCTGATTGAATTTTCATACAGCAATAACATTTACAATTTAAGTCAATCAACTATATGAAGTTACTGAGTGAATCCCTGTATCTCTAAGAAGTTCCTTTCTGAATGGTCAAAAGAGCAGCAATCCATTACTTCGACATCAACTTTTTCAAGATTTATAAGTACACTCATTTTTCAGTCTCAATAAAAGGGATTCTAAGCTGTTTCAGGTCTGTTATTAAAAAATAGCATGTGGGATTGCAATAAAGCAGAAGTTGTAAATAGACTAAGACTGCTCACCCCAAATCTTTAAGTTCAGATTAAACAGTTCTGAGTTAACATTCACACATCCCCCCCCAATAGTCAGATCAATTTTTAATCAGCAGCTAAATCAGACACTCACCTCTGTCTTTGAGTTTGCTGGTTTATTAATAGGAGCCTCAACAGGCCTCTGAGAACAGGACGGTGCTTCCTGCTTTACACTGCTGCTATTGATTCCAGCAGATGCTCCACTTGTAGTGGACAATTTGGATAAACAAGTAGTGCCAGGCTGTTCTTGTGCATTGTTTTGCTTCGCAGATGGATGACTTAGGTCATCTTCCCAGGAGCCAATTGTAGCAGCAAGGTTGGCTAAACGGCCTCTCCTCCCAATAGGGGTATCACTTGCCAGGGCATTAGATGTCTGCTTAGGTGGAGAAACAGACAGATCTTTTGATTGGAGGGGAGACAGAGCAACACATTCAGAGGGATCTGGAAAAAAGAAAACATTTCTTTTGCTAATAAAATATATTGAGATATACTTGCATCTTTTGCATTTTGCTATATAGTGAGTCTATCAAGTTCCTACATAACGGAATCAAGCCACTAGCTCTGAAGGCACTGAGACTAATCAAGTTAAATTAAAGCTCATTTCAAAGCCAACACATTTTAATCAAGTTTCCTAGTTTTATGTCACTATTGTGATGAGCAAGGCATCGCACTAGTAGGAGGAGAAAAACTATAGCATTAAAATAATGAAACTGTTGACTACAGCTTAGACTTTCCCCAGTGCTAAGAATTCTTTATGAAAACATTAGCATTCACACACACAAAGTTACCTTCTGCTAGCAAACATAATCATCAATGCCAGCACTGAAAAACATCAGTACTGCTCAGCAAGCAAAACATACCCTCACTGTCCCAGCAGCGTCGCTGTTCTGCCAGTTTCTGCATACGTGTTTTGACGGAAAGGGCTGCAGGAGTTTCTGACTCCGTGTTTGTTTTTGCTTTCTCGAGAGGCTGAGCCAAAGAAGCCCTGTTAGAAGCAGTTACGTGCAACTCTGAAGTCACCTCAGGAGAATGATGGCTTGTGGAACTTGAAGGAACTGGCTGTACGTTCTCTGAACTGGAAGCTTGAGTCTCTATGTTGTTAGGGCAGAGCCTCTTTGATGGTGATGGCTTTGTAGCAGATTTCGCTGTACGGGTCAGAGTATTCAAGCAAATTAGTAATCAAAAAATCTAAAATATTTTCAGAGACAGTACAAAACTGTAACGCAAATAAAATGATGATTTATGAAAACCCTGATATGTCTCCTAAAAAACTGCCCTTCCCAAATTCTACCAAGCACAAGGCACTATACAATTATTTTTATAAACAGCTTACTAATTACTCAGAGTTATCAGGTTAAGCTAAACATTAGCTATGTTCAGTCCTGGTGGTCAGGTAACTGCATCCGTCACTGTTTAGTTTAAGACAAATGCGAAGGGTTTTTATTTGCCATTAGAAAAAAAAAAAGCAGATGGGACTCATATCAAAGGACAACCTTCATTAAACTTTTTGCAAAATACCTTCTTCACCAGGAAGAGGTGCCTGGTTACCAGTTTCTGACAAAGGCTCTCTGACCCTCTTGGTCTGCACCGTGGGTCTCACTCCCATCTTGGGCCGCTCTGCCATCTTCTTCTGCAGGTTCTCTCGCCTGGCACGAGTCCTTTCAAGGAGTTTCTGAGTGGTCAATAAATCAAGTGTTACTGTACGTTGAGTGAGTGCGTTAACTGGTGATAGCTCAAATTCAAAACACTTGAATTCTACCTAGCATACACCAAGATCCACAACAGTAGAAGTTCATAGTGAAGGCTACATAAGACCAACACAGATCCCAGAGGTTGCTAACTGATCTACTGCAATGCAACACAACAGAAATATTCCAAGTCTGGTTTTGTTCTGAAAGCAGAATGACCAAAATCTTTTCTACACTGCCAACTACACGATGTTTCTGTTTGCCTCCTTTTTCTCACTGCAATAACTCCTGATCTCCACACTTTGATTTCATCACTGCAACACTCACAGCTTCTCCCATTTGCAGCAAGCACTTGTTAGATAAAACATAGCTCACTCCGTAGCACGTTCCAAGCCACCTTCTTGCTCTCTGGCCAGTCAGTATGTGTTTGCAGGTTATCTGGAGTTTTTTGGCTTAGTAGACTGCAGAATTTTCTTCACAGAGGCACCAGTCTGGGTCTTTTCACCCAGCCACAAACTTTCAGGAAAATTGTAGAAGCAGTGAGGTTTGAAACACCTACTCTTTAATGAAGAAGTAGTGAAGCCAGACAGTAAGTTCCAAAGTTCTGGTCATTAAATCAACTAGTGTCTCCCATTAGTTTGGCTTGCAAAGGAAACCAGGCTAAAGAGACACAGGGGATGGTAAAATTTTAAAAATAAAAAGGGAGAGAGGCTTCTGTAGAGCCTGAAGTAGTCAGAAATGTTTGAAAGTAATTACTTTTTGACTGAATCACCACACGAGTGTCTTGAACCGCCAAGTCTTGCTAGTAGGTTTTTTTGACATGGTGCTAAAGCACACAGTCAAGTGACCTGGTTGGCATTAACCCTCTAGCAAAATAAACAACATTGAAGTGGTTGACAAGTGGGCATAAAAAAAAAAATCAACAAGTTAAATGCATGGCTGTTAATATTGAAAAAAATGTTGCTCTTACACCTTCTAAATCAAAAGGGGAATTTCTTTTCCTCAAGCTTAAATTTTAAAAAGAACAGACTGATGTCAAACCTAGTTGTCTTAATAAACAGGCTATTTATCACAATCTATCTTGATACAGAAGAACATCAAAAGATATAAGTTAAGCTACCTAACAATATTCTTTTTCATTCAGTTGGAAATCTGAGTACTACGATCACATTCCATACAAAATAGCTGGTTTAGTAAATGTTCCACACTAGAAGAAAGTGATTACTTATATCATCCAAGTTTGAAATAGGTCCTGGTGTTCTGGTGTTGTTCTTTTTTTTTGGCGGGGGGGAAGGAGTGTTTGTTGGTTGTTTTGTTGTTTTTTTTTTTTAAATACTGCATTCACAAATCATTATCACTCAGCTTGATCACATCTAAAGGATATATAATTACTCCTTTGATCTAGGTTTTAAGGCACTTTGAGACAAGAAATTGTGTGATCGAGCTAATGGCCTTTAAAGGGAAGCATATAAACTGCACTTGTTTGGTGGCACATAAATTATTGCGAGAACTGTGCCAGCCATTCTCTGTCCTGTTGCACAGCAATTAAATACACATTTCACATTTTTAACTGTCTAAGGCTGAAGTCCTAAACAATGTTCCATTGTAGGGCAACACAGGACAAATGGAATGTCAATCTCAACAGGTTCTTTTTGTGGCAGCAAAAAATCGGCTTCTCTAGCTTCCATAGAAGAGAAGGTTTTGGGGAAAAAAAAAGGGGGGGGGGACGGGACATGAAATGCCAGGAGTGCCTCCAATGCAAGTTCCATGTTAGTTGTGTGCACAAGTTTCCTTATTTCAACCCCCAAAAGGCAGAGCTACAAAGTGCAGGTAATACCCACATAAATAAAATCTTCAAGGCTGTATAAATTAACTGTTCTTCCAGTGCAAAGTCAAGGATATCTTCCACAACCGTATTCCTACAGCTCTATTCAAATTCAGCCACATTCCTTTCTGTTTTGTTAGTTCAGTAAAATGGAGTTTCAGTTGTTACAAATAGGATGTCACTTCCCAAGAATGCAGGCCTGTTGTTGAGCTCCAGCTCCTATTGGCTTTTTGGATCTCAAGTTTTCCATGCAACTGCTGTAATTCAAACTCTGCAGTTAAACATGATGAGTAAGCCACTCACCAGAACTGGAGACTTACTTTCCAAGTTCATCAACAGGGTATTTGCTGCAAGTACATTCCCTGAGTGTTCTGATGACAGCCAAAGTTTTGGAGTAGGACATACTTATTTCACTACATCTAAGAACCACCAAGTTGCAGTTAGTGAATCACAGTTTGTGTTGCAAAAAGCACCTTCTGAAAATGAGAAAAGGCCTTCCCACTTTAAATGTTGATGGCCAATCTTGGTTTTTAAAAAAAGTATGTTTTAAAGTACATATTTAACAGCAGTAGCTAAGACACTCAGGCCCACACGTGATTACAATGATTTGTTCTGGCTATCCTGCATCACAGAATGCAGCCAAGGGAGCAAATTTATCCATGGCATTGAAGGAACAGTTAACTTCAAACTTCACATATGCAAATTTTCCCGTGAGCAACTGCATCACTTATTTCTTTCTGGTCATCCTCCACGCTAGGAAACCATACTTTGCTCTACAAAAGTGAATAACTACTTCCACATACAAAATAACCTAGAGTATTTATAAGATTCTGTAGCATCAAAGCCTTTTGTGCAAGAAAGGTGAATTACACAATCAGCTATAAACTGGAAGTCACAAATAATATGTTCATTGTGATCCTAAAAAAGTATCCACTGAATCATCTCTTCAGCATGTTCTGTATTAATAATTTGGTTGAGATTCAGAATGTTATTAGTTTTTGCCTGTAGGATTAATCAAAAGAAACTTTATTTTGGAACTGTCTGATTTGAAAGCGTTCCACTGAATCTTACTGCAAGATTTATTTGAGCTTCAATTCAGTGAGACCAGGGCAAAATTTGTTACTGTACAGTGATCAGCAAACACTGAAATAATAGCAATTAAGCCATTAAGGCTCGAATTACACTGCTTTACATAATCAACATTTACAACGCCTCACCAGTCCCCTGCAAGTAACAGAGTATGGTAATTTGTAGACAAAGATTGTCTGAAAATAATTAAGCTAAGGAAAGTTTATATTAAAAAGAAAAAAAAATCAGAACATAAATATTTCACAGTAGGTGGTAAAAAGCTTTCTTTTCAGAAAACTTGTTTGAGGAAAGTTATTAAACTTCAGTACACTTATACTGGTCAGATTTTTGTGGAATGTCCTCCACAGCATAAACATTTTTGATAAAGCAAGCTTGCAGGCATTCTGCAATACTGGGTAGCATTCAAATTAAGTTCACCCTAAGGAGCAGCCTCACAGTTGGTCATGGCTTTTCAAAAATCAGTTATCTACAAGAAGGGCGTGTTGAGGTTGGACTATCTCCCAGCATGCAAAACCATTTTAAACTTGATTCAGCAGTCCAGACTTGAAGTTTATTTAAGACTAGTTGGATCACGTCCTCACTACCAAGTAAGGAAGGAGGTTTTAGATGTTTATACTTCACAAGCCTTACATGGGGGTAGAGTAAATCTGCAGCAGCATAACACATTTAGTAAATACGTTCAGATCGATACCTTATGTTCAGCTTTTTAAATCAGATCTGCACAGTCATCTTTTTCAGGCACTCAATTTATTAAAAGTATGTCCATTTGAGAAACAGATGGTTTTCAAGGGGAGGCGAGAGTATTTCACCAATGTATTTGATCTGGATTTTTTTTAAAGTACTTTAGGTTTTTGCTTAGGCAGGCTGTGGACTGAAGGCCACTTTTACTACAACATTTCTCAAAGCAGTCACAAGACAGCTCCACAGCTTTACATCTGTCACAACTAAAATCAGAGTAGGGTACAGCATCTTTAAGAAACCTCTAGCCTCCATACTCATACAAGCTGGTCAATTCCCCTCTTTTTTTTTTTTTTACAGTTTAGCCTCTGTAAAACTCAAACACACACACAAATCCACTCTAACTAACTGAGTTCTTCATTTTTTTTAAAAAAGAGGAACCATGCTTGCAAATGAAAACGGCCGATCACAGGCGGCAATGCTGCCAAACAGGAGGCATTTTTAATCAGGCAGTCGCTGCTTTGGGCAAACTTCACACCAACTGTCGATACGGCAGGCACGACGTGTGTCAACACCGCTCCCTTTGCTTCCAGCGTCCCTCCCGCCTCAGCTGCGAGCCTTATCTGCCAGACACATGAAAGGCGGACCCTACAGCGCCAGAAAAAGCAATCCAGCACCGGGCCGGTTTGGAAAAGGCCCTCTCCTCTGCAAACCCTCGCACGAACAACCCCTCCGTCCTCTGCTTTACCAGGGATCCCACGCCCCACAACCGCCCGGGGGGCCACAGTGCCGGGAGTACCCGTCGGAGCGAGACGAGGGGGCAGAGGAAGGCTGTCCGCCGCAGAGAAAGAGGCT